AATATGCTCTACAATTAAAGCTGTCAAATACATTTATAAATACATATGCAAGGGATGTGACAAAATAAGCTTTTCAGTAGCACAAGATGATCACTCATCTAGCATAAATGAAATAGATCAATTTCAAGTAGGTAGGTGGATATCACCCCTAGAGGCAGCTTGGAGAATTTTTTGGATTTTCATTGGGTGAAATCAAACCAGCGGTTATTCATTTGCCTCTACATTTAGAAAATTACCAACCAATAACATTCAAAAAGAAAGAATGATTAACTAATATTGTAGATAATGTATGTAAAAGAAAAACAATGCTAACCGAATTTTTTCATAAAAATAGTACAGATAGATATGCACAAAGTCTTAATTTAACATATGTTGAGTTTCCTAACCATTTTGTATGGAAACCGGATAACAAAGTCTGGTTACCTAGACAAATTGAAGATTCAATAGGACGAATAGTGTTAGCACACCCAAGTGAAGTTGAAAGATATTTTTTAAGAATACTATTATCAAAAAAAAGATGTCCAAAGTCATACGATGACCTTAAACTTTATAAAGGACAAAGAGTTGACACCTTTCGACAATCTGCATTACTACATGGATACCTACTTGATGATAACAGCCAACAATTATGTTTGGAACAGGCATCAAACTTCCACATGCCATATGAATCACGAAGACTTTTTGCTACTTTACTTGTGTATACAAATCCTAACAATCCAAGAAAATTATGGGAATTATTCGAAGATGCCATGCTTGAAGACTTTGTACACTACGGTATTCTTTCACTAACTGAAGCAAAGCGATGTGCATTTCAGCAAATTAATACATTGCTACAGTCTAATGGGAGACAACTTCATGACTTTGATATATTGCCAAATGATTTATCATATGCTGATTTAGAAGATGACACAAGAGAAGTAGCTACTGAAAAAAGTATCATTGTATCAGAAAAAGATCAAAGAGCAATACAAAATCTTAACACTAAACAAAAACTTGCATTTGATACAATAATTAGAAAAGTCGAAAGTAACAATGGTGGGGCATTTTTTTATTGATGGTCTAGGTGGTACACAGGGAAAACTTTCCTAGATAAAGCATTATTAGCTTACATCCGATTAAAGGGACAAATAGCTTTAGCAACTGCAACATCAGGTATAGCTGCCTCGTTACTACCAGGAGGAAGGACAGCACATTCTAGATTTAAGATTCCATTAGATTTGATAGATAGGTCAAATTGTCGGATTAGTAAACAAAGTTCATTGGGTATATTGATTAAGACTTGTGCGATAATTATTTGGGATGAAGCTCCAATGGCAAAAAGACAAGCAATAGAAGCCCTAGATGACCTTTTACAGGATCTTATGGAATCAACTCAAATATTCGGAGGGAAAGTAGTTGTACTTGGTTGTGATTTTAGGCAAACATTGCCAGTTGTTCGAAATGGAAGCAAACATGATACAATTGCTGCTTGTATAACTAACTCACATATATGGCCATCACTATGTGTACTACAACTAGATGAAAACATGAGGGCATTATTAGATCCAGTTTTTACTGAATTTCTTCTAAGATTAGGTGAAGGTAGAGAAAATTTACAAGATGATGATGTTGTTACTCTTCCATCACAAATTGTCATAGCAGATAATGATGAATCACAAGGGTTAAATGTTCTAATTAAATATGTTTACCTACATATATTTGAAAATTCTAAAGATAACCTTGCATCCTTCACCTTCAATCGAGCTATTTTGACAACTAAAAATACTTTTGTTGATAAGCTAAATGGTATCTTAATAAACAAATTCCAAGGAGAAGAGAAAGAGTATATTAGTTTTGATGAAACACTTGATCCAAATGACCAAGCTCATTATGAGGATCTTCTACATTCTTTAACTCCACATGGTATGCCCCCACATAAACTGATTTTAAAGGTAGATGCACCTATTATATTATTAAGAAACATACATCCAGAAGAAAGATTATGTAATGGTACAAGACTTTTTTGCAAGGAATTTGAAAGAAATGTTATTCGAGCACAAATAGCATTCAGTGATTTTGCTGGAAAAGAGGTATTTATACATAGAATACCTTTACAACCACCTACAGGTGAAGAATACACAATGCCATTCAAAAGAACACAATTTCCAATCAAGGTTTGTTTTGCAATGACTATTAATAAAGCACAAGGCCCAACACTAGACAGAGTGGGCATATACCTTAAGGAACCTATTTTTTCACATGGATAATTGTATGTTGCCCTCTCTCGTGCTAGAAGTATTGAAAATGTTAAAGCTGTTATCAAAGAATCTCACAAAAATCAAGAAATACATAACACAAAAAATATCGTATATCAAGAAGTATTACAATGTTCAAAACACAACTAGAGGTATGTATTACTATAAGTCTTAATATCTGGAATGATGAAAACAAATACTAAATTCACACACATTGTTGCACATTTATTATATAAGATAGTAGGACATTTCATTTTTGAATTTTTATCCACTTTACTGAATTGAAGTCCATTGGTGAAATATCTCCTTATATGATAATTTTTCATGCAGTAATTCAATTGAATATCAGGTATGCATTCCAGCGGTGGTAATTCCTTTCTTTGCCAACAAATTACAACACTCAATGTAAGTGATTTGCAATATGATGGTTGCTTGACAGATTACATGCTTTTTTTATATAAATGTTTACCATGAATATTTCCAACAGGAAAACAACTACAAAACCAAAATAAAGATTTTGGATTACAAAGGAATTCACTATTCAATGATCGGGTAAGTGCACTTTGATTTCTAGATTACATTCCAATTTTCATTCTTTTTCATTTATTATTACTTGATTTAAATGATATGTCAATGAACTATCCAAATAAATCATTATTTTCGATTGAAGCAATTAATTTTTATTATAGAATATAATTAGCTATATAGTGATCCATCTCTCTCATTAATTATATCGGTATGACTCCATTACCTACAAAAATATATATTATCTTAATTATAGTGTTTATTTTCGTATTTGCACTCTATTTTAAAATGAATGATATCCACATTTGTTAATTTTGCTAAAGAACTTCTTAATCCTGATGCAAAATACCTTCATGCAGAATGACTTTACTGCCTCATATGACAGTACAAAAGGAAAGGGAAAAGTTCAATTAATCATGCCAAGAAGACAACATGCAACATCTACAATTGTTTTATTACATAAACTCTGCAACCATTAATTGTACTGTAACAGTTTTAGTTATGACTTTATTTCAATTTTATTTATATGTATATGGTGAATCAGATCATTTTCCATCGATTGGTCATTTGAGGCCTAAATAGTTAATTTTCAAATTAACTCAACTGTAAAGGAAATTACTAACGATCATAATTACCCGAATTTTGATTATCTTCATGATGCCATTTTTAAGTTAAATATAAAATACATCAAATACAATTTAGTGTTTAAATGATAAAATGGCACCCATCTAAACTTATTTTACTGTTTAATATATTTAAAATTTTATCATATAACAAAACAAATATATATTTGAAGGTTTTAGATCAGGCTAATTATCCGCAAAATACATTTTGATATTAATCATAAAAGATCAATATAAATGGCCTAGCCCAAAGGAATGTCATATACCCTAAATATTTAATAACCGGCCCTAAAGAACTTCGCCGTTAACCACACCCATTCTCCGTCCATTACATATCGCTATATACAACTATATACAAGCGGCCGCAATCACCGTTAACTCTTACTACACATCGACAACTTTCAACCGCTAACGACAATTTTAACTGCTAATCGGTTATTAAAACTTCTTCTAACTTGAAGTTGCCTAATGTCAGAATCGCGGATATAGCACATACAAACATCGTACATGGGAGTATCCTTCCCTTCTATTCCTCTTCCTATCTGTAAGCCCTACGGAAAATTACGTCAACGGTGTGTACAAAGTAATCGGGTAAGGATTGTCCTGTATTAATTGTATTTCTTCATTCCATGACAGATTCATATTATGCATCTATCTGCTCTTCATCTTCTTTCTTCGTGGTACGAACTCCACATTCAGATGCATTATTTTAATATGAACAATGTTCAACAAATATAACCATACAATTTAGGGCTTCAATGTGATTCCTTGAGAGAGACTATCACACAATTTGCACTGGCAATACATTAATTTCCCTTCATTTTCCCTCAAATAGTGTTAAAAATATCTGAAATATGGTTCTTTCATGACAATCCTATCTGATATGAAAGCCTTCCAATGTGAACGACCACTTACCAATTTTAACTTCCTAATAGTACCTGAGGAAATGGTTTAATTTCCTATTAAAGTAAGAACAATTCAAAGCCTGCACAACAACAAATGATTTTGGGTTTCCATTAAATTACAAATCTTACAATTTGCATGTTACTGAAAAAAATTCAAATTAAGGGTTTTTTTTTGGAAAAGACATAATTCTAATGTTTGCGATTTTCATTGATAAGATTAAAAAATTATTAAGATATCTTATTTTTAACTTGCATATACTGTGAAACCCAGTTGGAGTTCAAAAATCCTCTTCGCACTTCTCTTCACTAACAGGTATGTTTAATGTCCTTTCCATTTTTGCATCCTCACATACACAAAATTTACTTTTTGGAAGACACTGTTAAGTTTCGCTATAAATCTTCAATGCATTCCATCTATTGGCAAACATTTTACAACACCAATTCAGCAAAATTTCACATACGTTTTGGCTGAAATACAAATGTATTATAATTTAATATAACATACAATTATTTGAATATAAGAAACTCATACAGAATTTTTCAACATAAAGTGACTATTTTCACAGCATAGTACGCAGGAAACAACCAATGTCGAGAGACCAATACAACATTCATGACATAATTCCAAATATGAAGAAAAATTGGACTGTCTTGATTCAAGTTTTGGAATGTGGACACATACAACTAAGGAAAAGAAAAAATTTAGAAGGCTCATGTTTGCTGACACACAGGTATACAATACATCCTTGCGTATCTCACAACATTTGAATTAATCTAATCACATTGCAAAACAGGGAACAAGGGTGCAAGCATTAATCTGGAGCAATGACCTTGACTTTTATGAAAATACATTCGAACCCTACAAGCGCTATCAAATATCAAATGCTAATTTGATATACACTGAACCACGTTTTCAACTTGATTCATATGAATATTCATGGACACTAAGCAAACTGACACTCATTGAACCTTTTCAAGATGAAACCTCAACAACACTCACATGCAATTTCACCTTTACTCCCTTTAGTGACCTGCACAAATATGCAGATGAGGAAAGAGATATAAGTACGCAAAAATTACTTATTCTATACTAATCACTCATTTTTATTATGTCCTTTACTAATTGATGTTCAAATTGCAGATGTGAGGGGTATTGTAATAAAATGTTTTCCAAGTCAAAAGATGAAACAAGGCCAAGAGCCATCTTCAAAAAGAGATGTAATCATTGTTAACGAAGAGTATGTGGACAATTGCCCAATAACATAGAGTATGAGATTTTTTTTATTTAAATTAAAAAATTATTAATCATATTATTCCTACCTTTTAATTTTCAGGAAAAACTTTTAATATTAACATTATGGAATTACATCAATGAAAATGAAGGCAATACCTTAGACCAAATAGTGGAATCCGGGCCAATGATATTCGCACTGAGAGTAAAGGTGACAACTTTCTACGGTAAGATAATGTTGCTTAGAACACAATATATATATATATATATATATATATATATATATATATATATATATATATACACACACAATTTTTTTAAATCATTTTTAATCTTATGTCTTATAATCACACAGGACAATCTCTCTCAACAAGTAGTAGCTCTGCAATTCTTATAAATCCACCAGCGACAGATGATTTACAGCTAAAAAATTGGTATGATCCACAAACCCATTAACCAAAATTCAATTTAATTAATTCTATTTGTATTTGTCAGGTATACAAATAGCAGAACAGGAATTAAAGAACTACTTCAAAAACAAACATATAAGGATACCGATATTATGTTGCCCCCTCCCCAAGAGAGAGACATACTTCCAATAGGCAAAGCAATTACAAGAATGAAAAATGTTAGTAATAACAATATCTTTTCATGACCTTTTACACAATATTCTATACTATCGTTATCTATATAAAATTTTCACTTAAAACATGGTAAACCAACATGGATAAAAGGAACTCTATTGTTGCCTCGTCATGATAGAAGTTTCACACAAACAGCATGTGCCAACTGTTTAAAACCAGTTGTGGCTGATGTAAAGTGGATCATCACATGCTCTACCTGCAAAAAACAATTTAAAGTGCAACTCATGTAAGAGTATTCCATCATTCAATTAATTAAAAAATATTTTTAATACTAAATGATAATTCAATGTGAAGGTCTAGGGCAATAGTTGAAATCGATGATGGTACCGGCTCAATTGCAACAATGATTTCAACGCCAGAAATTGAAAAGTTCATGAAAGTCGACTACAATGAAATCAAAGATGCAGGAGAAAATGTAAGCCTATTATTTTAATATTACAATTCTAATTTAACAATTGATTAATTATGTTATCATTCTACAAACTAGGAACAAACTGTACAAAATATAATTGCAACATCAATTGCATCATTACCACTTCTGGCATATGTACGATCATATCAAACATAAAATCAAGAAAACCAGACTACAAGATTCGTCGTTGTGAAGGCACATAGGCTCCCTAACATCAAAACGAAAACAAACAACAACTCCAACTATCAAATAAAGATGAAACTTTATCAACAACAAAACAACATTCTCCAAAACAAACACAAAAGCGAAACCAAACAGACAGTGGGAAAGCAAAACTAACAGAAACTTCGACCGCTGGCACATCAAGACCAACAAAAAAAATGAAATAGATATTAATATCTATCAAATTTAAATAAAAATTCTATACTATATTATGTTTGATACCGCTACTTCCATTAGATATTATATTCATCAATTTCGTAAGAAGTTATGCATATGTAATTGACTCCAAATGATATATTATTATATTTTAAGTTTGTATATATATTATTATATCAACTCTTATTAATTAATGTTGCTTCTAAACATGGTGCATATTGTAAATTCCATTACGTTAATAAATGTATAATAGTTTACATCACTTTAGATCACCCCATGCATCTCTTATATAATAACCCATACATCTCGTATATAATAACCATTTCATTAGAGACCCTTGAAACGTTACAATTCTAATCAATAATTTTTTATAATAACCATTTCATCTTTAATCTAATCAATGATTTTTTTACTAATGTTTCTAAATGTTTTCTAATGGTTTTTCAATGCTACACATAACACTAAACTTGGGCCGTGCTATGCACGGGCCTCAAACTTTCTAGTATATATATATATATACCATTCGTGATCGTTGCAACAAGAGGCCACGCCATAGCCCTTAACAGCATAGATGGGGCAGCTCTTCACGGGCACATACCCGACGGCCTTAAATGATATTCATAATTAACTTTGACTTACGTAAACAGCTATAATTCTTAAATGAATTTCTTTTACTATATTATCTTATTGTGTAGCATGCCGTTTGGCAAACCAAAGAAATGATTTTGTTTATAAAAATGATATTCATAATCAACTTGATTATAGTGACACGTGAAAACCAATATTTGTATATCCTAGAAAATGTAAAATACTTGTATATCCACCGCTTTGCGAACACACATCTAAGTATATATATATATATATATATATATATATATATATATATATATATATATATATATATATATATATATATATATATATATATATATATATATATATATATATATATATATATATGGTTTTTGTTTAAATGTAAAAAGGGAAAATGACGCAACGGCCTTATTATGTATTTCGATTTTATATTTTCAGTTCCTAAAGTTCTTTTTGTGCATTTTAAGGAAACAAACTTTTTTTTTTCGGATCTATTTGGTCCTTTTTGATAAAATGAAGGGTTCAGCCGTAACTTCCTAGCCAGCTCATTTAACATTATAATTTTTCAATTGATGACAAATCCTTATCTCATTCTCTCACCGGTTAAAAACAACCCCACCCTTTTCTTCTCCATAACTTTTGCACCTGGAGATGACTACCTAAGTGTGTGCATATCCGAACACTCGACGATTGGACCAGACAACTAAAAACCATCTTCTCATGGGTATGTCGGTCACCTGCTAATGGAAAAAACGGACTGCTAAGAGTGGATTTCAAAAACAACCAACAGTAAGCACTTTTTTGTTGTCGTCTATTCTTAAAACACCAAAATCGACGACATTTGATGTATTAAATTGATCTTGACAGTTTCCTGAAATTCCTAATTGACAGAACATATGACATTGTGTTGCTAGGAGGGTTAGGAATCGGAGCAACCCCAATGATTAGTATCGTCAAAATCATCGTGAATAACATGAAAACAAAAAAGGAGAAAGAAGAAGCCTTGGAAAACGGTGGCAAAAACCCATTGCCTACATCATTGTCTTTGTCGAAGAAAAACGCATCTAATTTGAATACAACAAGATCTTACTTCTATATGGTCACAAGGGAACATGTAACATCCCAAAATTTCAGATAAAAAATTCATTTTAAATTCATTTCAAAATATCCAGAAACATGTCAAAACAACCAAATATCAAAGTATAAATCTCAAAATCACGTAAATGCGGAAAACATGGGCAGATACGGTGTGATCAAGCCAGACCCTTCCCTTTTGAGCTGGAAGTACCTGAAACATAAACCGAAAACTATAAGCACAAAGTTTATTGAGCTTCCCCAAAATACCACATACCATACATACATAACAGGTAAAAACATATTGGGTCTATTTCACCCCTTTCGGTATCTTTCAACCAGTATTGGGTCTATTTTCACCCCTTTTGGTATCTTTCAACCGGTATTGGGTCTATTTCATCCCCTTCGATATCTTTCAACCTGTATTAGGTCTATTTCACCCCTTACGCTGGGTCTGGGATTACGTTGGGCGTAATTTCTAATTACGTTGGGCGTACTCAGTACGCTGGGCGTACTTTGACGTCACTGCATGCGTCAATTGGTGGCACTCGAGTATTGGTCAGACAAGTTGCATCCGACTGAGTACGTTGGGCGTACTCAAATTACGTTGGCGTAATTGACTCGTCGAACTTCTAAATTGCGTAACTTTCGCATACGAGCTCCGTTTTCGACGTTCTTTATATCCACGTGAAGGTGAGACTACGATCTACAACTTTCGTTTAGACTCCGTCGGCTAATTTTGACTTTATTTTTATTATTTATTTTTAGTAGGCCGGGACAGGAAAACTCTGTTATAAAATCGTAACTTCTTCATCCGACGTTCGTTTTCGCCTATCTTTTTATCGTTTTACTACAATTAATGAGATATTCAATTCTCATTTAGATTGTTTCGGCTAAAAACCGCTCGGTCTCAAATCGAGCATTCGGGCTGTATACTGCTAAGTCGAAACTTCGAAAAATCATAACTTCCTCATACGAAGTCAGATTTGGGCGTTCTTTTTATGCACGCTCATGGTTTAACGTATTCTACGACTTTCATTTAGATTGCTAAGGCTAGATATCGCTCTAACATAAATTCACTTTTTACGTCGCGCTGTGTCGTGCCAGTTCTGTCGCGAAACTTCGATAGGTCATAACTTCTTCGTTATAACTCGGATTTCGGCGTTCTTTATATGTACGGAAACCTTGTAACATATACTATAACTTAGTTAAGATTATTCATTCTAAATAATCTTTCATCAAAAATTCATTTTTGACGCATATCGTCTCTAAATTGACTAGCCCGAATCTACAGGCGTTACAATTATACAACATGATATCCATAATACACACACAATAAACACCATTCCACACACATAGCCACCACCACACGGTGGCTAGTGGTAGCAGAGAAGGAAACAATAGCAGAAGCCACCATGGTTGGCGACCATGGTGGTTCTCTTCCACTTCTAGTCGACCAAGCACACACACACGCCAATATAATCTGAAATACGCATCCAAACACGAGCAGAAACACCCATACCCACGTGAAACACGAACACGACCGCCTCTTGGGGTGGAAAACGATGACCAAAGCAACACTGAATTGCACAAGCAGTGGCAGCAGACCGGTGACAACGCAAAAGCACAAGAAGAAGAATAAGAAGAAGAAGAAGAAGAAGAATACAACGGTCCTTGCAGTTCACAGCTTCGTTGGCAGCGGAACGACAGCGGAAGGAAGCTCGTTTGCTAACCTTGTCGTCTCCGGTAGCGTGAGAAATAGCGGTGCTGAATGACAGCTCACTTCGACGACAAATGCATTGGCCTAGAATAGTAGTGCTTAGCGGTCTTGATTGATCGAAAATGAGAAGGAAGGGTGGTGCGACTATAGATTCACGAATGACAGTGGTTGAAGAGATGGAGGGATAACGTGACGGCCATGAATAGTTAAGGTTAGGGTTAGGCAACAAGGGAAGGTGACGGGTTTTAAGTCCCACCCCATTCAAAACTTATACACACTTAACACATTTAGTCCCTCCCCATGATATCTTTTTCAATTTAAGCTACAATTTACAAAGTAGCCCCCAACATCCAAGATTCATAACAATTTAAGTCCCAGAAGTTACCATATAACCCCTTCATGACAAATCCTTTTCCACTTAGGTACATAATTTACCCGTTTAGCCCCAACCATCCAAAATACTTTCATATTAAGTCCATATGATACCAAACACACCCCAACTTCTAAATTCATTTTCAAATTAAATCCATAATTTACCAAACAACCCTCAAACTTCAAAATTCTTTACAAATAAATCCAAAAATTACATTTTAATAAACAAGATGTTATATATTTTGAAAAAGATAAGGAGAAGAAATTCAGAGAGAATCTTGAAGCTGAAATTAGGCAAAAGAATTGGTGGTGTTGATGATCCAGGAAATTCTAAGGGAAAAACTCTTCTAATTGATTAGTGTGGAACTTGTCTTTGTCTTATTTGGATTTAAAGTATGTGTCTTAGGATGATGGTAATTTGGATTTAAAGTATATGTATTAGGATGATGGTTATTTGGATTTAATGTGTATATATGGATTGTTGTTTGAATCTAAGGTAATTGTATTTGTTAAATACATGTGATGTGATCAAGGTATTTTGGTCATTTATGAATGCATGTTGCTTTTTTTTAACTTAACCCATGGCATAAAAGGGTATTTTGGTAATTTATGAATGCGTGTTGCTTTTTTAAGTTAACTCATGACATAAAAGGGTATTTTGGTCACTTAAGAAAGTATGTTGCCTTTTTAAGTAAAATCATAACATAAAAGGGTATTTTGGTCACTAATGAATGTATGTTGCTTTTTTAAGTAAACTGTTGACATGAAATGATATTTTGGTAACTTATGAAAGTATGTTGCCTTTTTAAGTAAACTCATGACATATGGCTGTGAATATTTTTGCATGGAAAAATTTGGAATAGTGTGCATACATGTGAATGTGTTATATGGTCCCGGATATGGTTCTATAATGGGTTTAAAGGTCCCATTTTTCCATTATAAAAACACCCACTGACTATTAACTACAAATGGCCCTATACATAGTGTACTTCCACATGGACCACTTTCTACTTTATTCCCAATATAATACCATGCACAATAACCAATTTAATTAAATGTAATTGTTGGGAATACAATCCATGTAAATGTTTCAATAACATCAACATTTTCAAGATTTGATTATACAAAAATGCCTTAGAATTGGGACTTTCAATAACTTTTTACAATAGTTATCAAATGCCCTTTCATTAGGGACTTACTAGCTTACAACATCAACACATCAAGGTTGACACCCCCAAATTGTAACTAAAAGCAGCTTCCAAACATATGGATGTGCCCATCATTACTTACTTTTTAGTCTGCCTTTACAAAAAATACAAAAGCTTACACCAACCACCCTAACTAACTACAATCACCCCATAACTTCAAAACACAAAAGACCAAGCAAGCGAACAACAATGCAACTATCATATTGTACCTGCCTATTGCCTTCCTTGCATCATCTTTCTCACTCTTTGACACCTTAAATTGCTCTCGTGACAGCAGGAACTCCACTTCAACAGTCATTCTCCTCAAATTGTTTATCTCAAACAGATCCTCTTTAGCATCCACTTTATGTTTTAGAGAATATAAAAGATTTTTGTAGTACCTTTCTTCCTGTTCTTCGTCTTTCCATTCAAAGAAGCTACATTTCTTCAACTTATTCTGTAAAAAGCCAATCCATCAATAAATGAAAATGCTTTGATTTGGATAGTAAATAAAGATTAAGGAAATCAACTACTTTTAATGTACTAATGAAATGTGTTTGATTCACAATCATAACTATTCGTCAAGAAGAAAAATAAAATTAGTTTTATTTATTTATTTATTATTTTTTTTTTCAAAATACAAATCTACCATGATCGTCTTTACACGAAGAAACACCACAGTCAAACACTATAATACTAAGGTAGCATGATCAGGATTATCAAGACCTACCAAAATGTTTTGACAATTCCATAAATGCATCTCAGGGTTTGTTATCTTCCAACACGTTCGTTTTTTAGTCGGAACGCTGCAATCACAAAGCTTTACACCTTCTCGCGACTCAACACGAGTCTAGGGATGGCAAAAGAAATCGAACCCGATGGTGAAAACCGAAAACCGACATATTAGGGTCGGGTTTGGGGTCGGGATCGGGTTTGGTATGCTTTTAGAAAATTTTCGTGGGTTTGGTTACGGGGACGGTAAACAAAATACCCGTCCCGATTGCCCGAAACCAAAACCAAAACCGAAACCCGTTACCTGAAACCGTTAATATGATTATATATATATATATATATATATATATATATATATATATATATATATATATATATTAATTTCTTTGAGTTATCTTCTTTGTTGTGAACGATTTAAAGATAATTTCTTGAGATAGCTTCATGTTTATTTGTAATGCTAGTGTTTTGACATTTTTTTATTCATATTACTTAGAGTAATAGTGATATTATGGTTTATGAATGCTAGTGTCTTTATTATTTTTGTTGCCACTAGTAACCACTTATGTATCAGAACAAATATGTATGCTCTTAGTAGTTTTGTAAATTATCAAAATTATTTTGGATATGAATTTATGTTTGCATCACTAAGTCTCATGGTTTGTATTCCCATTTCATCAAAATTATTTTTAATTTGAATGTTAAACGGGGATCCCCGTTACCCCGTTGGGATACCCGCAGACCCGATAGTGTTTGGTAAACGGATACCCGTTGGAAATTGAGTCGGTGATGGGATCGATTTTCATATTCGGGGATGGGGGCGGGATTACCAAAACCCATCCCAAACCCGCCCCGTTGCCATCCCTACACGAGTCACTTGTAGCTGATTCCTTGAAGTGGATGAGCTCGAAGACATTGTTCTTGAGGATGGAAAGAATCGGTGGAAAGGATTTGACTTTTCATAAAAGGGTAAGAAACACTTAAATGATGGTCCGATTGAGGGTTTCAATTAATAATGGTTGTTGGACAACTCAACTTCTTCAACACATCAGTATCCCACGTAAGCTTATTTGACACATCAACGTGCCAAATGAGCATTGTAACCGGTAAACTGTCTAATTTTTTAGATAATGGTGTAACTAAAAGGTAAAAATAGAGTTTAGTGGTCTAATGTAAAAAAATAATAATAATAATAATAAATAAAAAAATTAGTGACCAAATTAGCCCAATATTAAAACTTTCATGTGTAAGGTTTCATTTTCCCTAACCAAAAACCACCGGCAATGCGCAAGGTAACAAATACTGAAAGGAATTTCTAAAACCTAGCTCTAAAACCCTACCCAAAATCTGTAGTTTTTGCGTCCTTCATCGGTTGCTGCTGCTCCGCCTCCCTTTTATCGTTCCTACTTCCATCTTCTTCTACCAAAAAATAAGCAGGTAAACTGGTAAAGTTTGCTCTTTTGACTGGGTGTGATTGGTTCTACCAAAAATCGATAAGTATTTATTCCCTGAAACCTTATCTGATCCATCTCTCGCAATGATCCACTCTATTTAGTTTAGGCTCTGTAATAGAATAAGCACACTTTACAAGAACACCTTACAGAATCAATTGTTAAAATCTTCCCAAAATCGTGTGTTCATCTATTGTGAATAGTTGTTCCTTATAAAGTCTGTCAGTTCTGCGTCGATGGACTGAATGTGTGTTTTATTTGAATTTTTGTTCAGTTTGTAGCAAAGCGAAACCCGGTATATGTTTATTTTCATTGATTTTTTCTTCAAAAATATGCAGATTAAGGCGAAGAAGAATCTAGCTTAGTGAAAGCTTGCTGCTCTGTTAATCCATATGGAGATTAATGTGAAGAATATAGCATTTGACCTTGATTTTCATCCTTCTAATCAGCTAGTTGCTGCTGGTTTAATCACTGGCAACCTTTATGTGTAAGTCCATATTGCCACATGCTGTTTGTTTCTTTATGTGTGTTTGCTACAATTTGCAGATACAAAGTAGTTGAATGTTATCTAACCAAACAATCTTTATACCTTACAGATATCGATATGCTGAAGATTCTGAACCACAAAGGTAAAGTATATGAGTTAAATATACCTATCATATGTAAATTGTAACATTTTTGCTAAAAAATATTTATTATACCAGCAATGTGTTCTTGTGTCTTTATGGATGGAAAGTAAAGTAAAATTTATTTTATATGTTTTCTTGAGTTGGAAAGAAAGGGAATGAAAGCAAAGGAAAATTCGCAATTTACAATTTTGTGTAAGTATTTGGTAATAGATATTAGGGTAAAATAAGAGGGCACTTTTGTCATCATAAATATAGGAAGGAATATTTTGAAGAAAAAACAATGAAAATGGAAAGACTCGAAAGTAAAGAAAACTTATTACTTCATTTTATTTTCTTGACCATGTTCTGGAATTGAAAAGAAAGGAAAGGAAACCTGGGGTTTTACAATTATGCCCTTCTTGTTTGCTCTCTACAAAATATATAACATTTTTTCAGGGGTAATTTCGTCATTAAAAAACCGTTCTTATAATGTGATTTCTCTAAAAACTATCATTTCAGGGTGTTGAAAGTTCGTGCACACAGTGAATCTTGTAGAGCTGTTAGATTTATCAATGAAGGACGTGGTAATGAACCAACATTGTTTATACTTTATATACTCTTGAACCATGTAATTTACCTTTTTACCCTCAGTAGCAACATACTTCCATTTTTCTTACAAATAATAAAAAGAGTAAAGTATGTTGCTATTTCTTTAAACTTGATTATGAATGTGTGTTTTTGTCATCAGTGATCCTCACTGGTTCTCCAGATTGTTCTATTCTTGCAACTGATATTGAAACAGGATCTCCAGTTGCTCGTCTTGAAAATTCTCATGAGTAGGTGTTTTTATTATTTTATTATTTTTTTATTTTTAATTATATATAATTATAAGATTTGCTTTAACAATATATATTGTTTTAGGAAAGCTGTGAACAGGCTAGTTAATCTCACAGAAACAACAATTGCTTCTGGAGGTGATGAAGGGCATATAAAGGTTTCTTGTTTGTTATTATATTTTTCCTTTATTTAGTAATATCTTTTTTTTAATTATTATTTCATATTTTGATTTTTTTAAATGTAGGTATGGGATACAAGACAGCAGACATGCTGCAATTCATTTAAAGTTCATGAAGAGTATATTACTGATATGACCTTTGAGCCTGATTCCATGAAACTATTGGGAACAAGGTAGGAGAAGTTGCCCCTTTTTTAATATTTATTTATTTATTTTTATGGAAGCTTCCATGTAAGCCGTTTTTAACAATAAAATCATTTTTGTTTTCATTTATTTTTTTGTAGTGGAGATGGCACTTTGTCTGTTTGTAACCTACGAAGTAGCAAGGTAATTGTTTTTCAATCTTTTGTCTGTGCAAAAGACGTAAATACCCTCATCATCAAAAATAGCTATAGAAAGCATATGTTTTAGTACTATTTTTGACGAGGAGGGCATCCATGTCTTTTGCACAAAGAGAGTTTGCTGGGTTGGGAAAAAAAGTAAAAATTTTATTCCATTGATGATATAAATATAATAAATCTAATTTTTGTTTTTTTTTTCAGGTTCAAACCCAATCAGAGTTTTCTGAAGATGAGCCATTATCTATAGTGATAATGAAGGTATGTTTTTGAGAGCAACTCTTTTAATAAAGAGTGATAATAGAATGTAGGGTAAATTACACTTTTGGTCCCTGTGGTTAGTTGATATTTACAAATATGGTCTGTTTTTTCCATTTTTAACCTTTTTCATCCCTAAAAAGTCTTTTTGTCACACTTTTAGTCCCTGAAATTGTCGCCTTTTGAAAGGTGTTATCAAAGATGTCATGTGCATTGCATGTGAGGGTAAATTAGTCTTTTTCTTAGTAATATGTGGTTATTTTTGGTATTCAGAATGGTAGAAAAGTTATATGTGGGACTGAAAGTGGAACCATGTTATTATACTCATGGGGCTTTTTCAAGGATTGCAGGTAGTTCTCAATGCAATTTCGGTAATTTTTTTTTGATATTAGCAATGTACTTTTGAAGGGCATTTATGTCTTTTGCACAGATTTTAACTCATTTATTTGTAATTTCCAGTGATCGCTTTACTGGTCTTTCTCCAAATCCAGTAAACGCCTTATTGAAGGTGAGAATGATGTTTTTGTTTTTATTTAAATGATTACAAATTATCAATATCCATTTATTAATTACAAATTACTGATTTGCCCCTTTCCGATATTGTTTAGCTTGATGAAGAAAGGGTTATCACTGGAACCGAAAATGGTCTCATCAAGTGAGCAGGCTTTTGTAGTTGCATTGTTTAATTTATATTTTCTAATAATCATAATTTTTTATTTAATTAATTAATTAATTAATTTATTTTGTTTAGTTTGGTAGGTATATTACCCAACAGGATAATTCAGCCAATTGCAGAACATTCAGAGTATCCCGTTGAGCGTCTCGGTAAGCTTTATTTATATTTTATTTAATTAATTTATTTATGTGAAAATAAATTAATTTATTTACACTTTTGGCCCCTATGTTATATCGGTTTCTTTTGATATGGTCCAAAAAGAATCCCTTTTGTCTTTTTGGTCCCTATTTCATTGTTACATAACCTTTTTAGTCTCTGGGTCGTCAAAGTGAACATCCCAACGTTCACATTTATGAAAAAATGACCATTTTGCCCTTGTCTTGTTTATTTTTTTAACAGCATTTTCTCATGATAGAAAGTATCTTGGAAGCATATCACATGATTCCATATTAAAGGTGTGTTTCTCTGTGTCCCTATAATTTCATTTATTACACCTGGACAAGCTTTGTAGAGCTATTTTTTTATGAGGATTAGAAGGGCATTAACGTCTTTTACATTTACTAGAGATGAAGAGGGAGTCCCTATCTCACCTTTTTTGGGTGGGACAAAAGATTGCAATTCTCTTTCAACAGTCAACTGTTGATTGCTTTTATTTATTTATTTATTTTTATTTTTTCTTTTTCTTTTTTGCAGATGTGGGATATCGATAGTCTATTGCAGGATACTGGAAAGAAAGCAGAGGGTAAATCAGCTGCTGCTGACAGTGATGATGATGAGGATGATGACATGGATATGGATATGGATAAGGATGATATTCTTCCAAAGTCATCTAAAGGTAGTCTATTTCTACTTTCGTTTCATTCTCTTTACAACATTTTCTTATTAACCTAGTCATTATTAACTTAAAATGACCATGTTACCCTTGTTGCTTTTGGCTCTCTTCTCTTTAGGCACAAAGAGGAAAAACAACGGAGCTGGCCTCGATACCACAAGTGATTTCTTTGCAGATTTATAGTTTAAGTTCATGAAAGCATGCAAAAAAAAGCATTTTATGTGACAATGTTTCATCTCTCTTTTTTTTTTTTTTTAGTTACTGGTATTTCAAATATTGTCAATGTGTTTCTTTAGTAATTATTTATTTATGGTTTCTCTTAAATTTTGTTTTACATGATTATTCGAGGGATTTAATTTTTTAAACATATTATTAAAAAGTTAAATACCCATCATCTGTGCACCATAGCTTTTATCTTTTTATCAATCTGTGAAAAAAGTGATTTTTTAGATGATATAGGCAACCATGGTTAATGTGAGCAAACACGTAAACATGTGTGGTGACACTGGTTAAATGCTTATTTTGTATGACATTTTACTCTACCACTTTATGTAAATATATAAGTTAATGTGAGTGATAGAAATATGGTGCAATATTTTTAATAATAGCGAATTTGATTATCAACGTGCATGTGGCTTAGCAGTATCTGAAATTGTTGGATATGTGTCCATTAGCCAAAATTTGAGGGTTCAATTTCATTACCCGTGAAAGTATCGATCTTCAAACTATTGTAGAAGTACAACAAATTATGTGAAAATTATAGCAATTAAATAGGTGGTTTTTTGGAACCACCATCATTGTGGACTAATAGTGATCATTTGGTAATAGAACACTTGAAAATGAAGTTAGAGGTTTGAATCTTCCATGTTTCAACTTTGGGGTGGTATGTCATTAACAAAACATTTTTTGGACCATGAAGTTTTGGCACTATTGGTATGTTGTAAGAGGTTTGAAATTGAATTTTTATTGTATTATATGTTCATTAAGACGTTACATAGGAAGTAACTTGATTAGATAGTTTTTTAGGGTTATTTTTAATGATGATAAAAGCTCATAAAAGTTAAAAACTTCCAAAATATATTCATCTTCTTGCTGAATAAACTTTTTTTTTTATTAAAAACTAAAATCCAAAAACTCCATGACAAACATGGCGGTAAAAACATTGAGAGTTAGTATTCGGTATGACTATAGAAGAACATACACAACACATCAAACGATACTTCATAAGAAGCTCTTAATACTCATTAATAATAGATACTTTCAATATTCAATATATAATGAAAACTTGAAAGGAAAATAAGAATCGTAACTTGTATATCATATATATCTCAACGTACATAAATTAGGTAAGTAGGAGTCATATATAATAAAAATTAAATTATATTGAGATGTGTCAACCCATTTTTTAAACAAATTGTAAAAATAAAAAACATTGCTAATTCAAATAAGGATCATATATAATAAAAATTAAATTATATTGAGATGTGTCAACCAATTTTTTAAACAAATTGTAAAAATAAAAAACATTGCTAATTCAAATAAGGATGAATGTTAGTTAATGATTTCCGAAACATAATTTTATGAGTCAACATAAGCATAGTTAAGGGACTAAACTGTAACTATTTGTATAACGTCAGCACTGTGCAAACCCCCACTACTCGTCAAATAATTACACGCCAAGATGCTTTCTCCGCCCGTAATATTCAAATGCCCCCATTCCTCAATCATTCCACCTTTCTCCAAAATCCTCTCATTAGGGTTCTACAAGGGTTTCTCCTTACGTATAACAATGGAAAATCAAACCAGTGAAATCAGCTTTTGATCATCCGTTTATAGAGACAATTCATATATACAACAGTTATTAGTTGATCAATGGCTGCTTATCAACCGATCAGAGGTAACGGGCCTGGTTTACAGTTTTTGAATTTTCCATTTGGAGACACCACGCATACCAAGGTTTTTGTTGGAGGATTGGCATGGGAGACACATAGCGAGACGCTGCATCGTTATTTTGATCAATTCGGAGATATTTTAGAGGCTGTTGTCATCACTGATAAACATACAGGGAGATCTAAAGGCTATGGGTTTGTGAGTTTCTTCAAAACTTTTTATGTTTCTGATTTTGGTTTTGCCTCAAAGTTTCTGTATGAAAGTACTTTTTTGATCATTTTTATGTCGAGTAACATATGTGACTGAAGTTGATATTTTTAGTATCCTGAACCAAACTATCACCTTTTTGTATATATGAGGATACGTTCATAAGGATAAGGAAGTAAAAGATCAACAAAAATCGAGTGACATTTTTAGAAGGATTGTCCCTTAAAAGAATGAATTAGGTGGTGTCAAAACTTTGTTTAAATTTTGAAACTTTTTACCCTTCTGCTGCATGTTTATTTCTTACATGACAGTCTCCTTGTTGCTTATTTTTATATGAATGATTCAAGGACATATTCATTTCTCTTGATTAGTTGATTGTATAAATTTCGTGCAAGTTTTTGCTGTTTTCTTGAAGGAAGCAATAACCAATTAACCATACTAATATAATGTAAAGGAAAATGCCATATGCATGTTAGATGTTGGATTTGCATAAAAATAAAAAATCAATATCCGTTGTGTAATGACCACCTCATGCCCATGAAATCATAATTACTATTATTGTCCTTATAAGCTGACATCTCTTTCACCTTTTTCTTTCTCTTCTGTAAATCTGATTTTTATTATTATTATTATTTTTTAACTTATTAGGCCCATTTGTTACATATCAAGGGAAATTATAAGTTTTTTTGTCCCATCCAAAAGATTGAAAAAGGTGTGATAGTGACAAACTCATTCTATGGTATGTACAAATGACGTAAACACCCTCCTATTTCTGATCATCAAAAGTAGTGCCAAAAAGCTAGTCTCGTGGACAAACTTTGCAGAGCTATTTTCGATGATGAGGATGAGGAGGGTATTTATGTCTTTTGCACATATGAGAGAACAAGAGTCCATGTCCCACCTTGTTCAATCGTTTTAAAGAATTTACAATTTTTGTTCCATTGACATTATTCTATCAATTCTATCAATTGTGTCATGTGTAACAATTAGTGATATATATCTTGTGATTATGGTTGAGTTTAGGTAACATTTCGTGAGGCTGAAGCTGCAGAAAGGGCTTGTGTGGACCCCACTCCAGTTATTGATGGTAGGAGGGCAAATTGTAATTTGGCATCCCTTGGGAGGGCCCAACCTTCTTTCACATATGGTACATTTCTTTTAGCCTCTAAATATATAATCACTTTTAACAGATTCCATTAATTTACTCTTGAAATTGTAAATGAAAATATAAAAAAGAATTGGTATATAAATTAGGGCTCTTCCAGTAGAATATCAAAATAAGCTATTGTCTTGTATTCTTCTTGTAACATGGGGATGAAAGTAAATGTATATGAAAAGACCAATATACCATTGATCGATAATAATGCAAGTATTCGTGTTGGTTTTTTATTTATTTATTGTAGGACATGTGGGACCCACAGGACACTACTTGTGGGGTCCCCAAAACATGGGAGGACCCTATCATCAACCGGTTCCTTATGGTTATCAACAATACCCTTATTCTTTATATGGGTAAGTTATCATTTCCAAAAAAAAAAATGTGTCAATTTGGGTTTTAAATTTATTGCTTAAGGGTATAATGGGTAAATTTATAAAAGTACAATGCTTTACTAAGAAACGTTGAAAGTATAATGTTCTAATAGGAAGAAATGGAAGTAGGGTGCTATAATAAACAAATAACTATTAGTTTTTATAATCATGTTTAATATATTTATTATTTAAGACTATAATTGCTAGTTTCTATATATTTCAATACCGAAAAATATGTAACTTTTACTTAGAACTCTTGATCTCATTTAATTTATTTAAAATTTGGTTTTGACAGATATTCAGCATATGGACCCGAATATGTCTTTCCTCAGGTGAATAAAATTATCATATCATATTCTTCAAAAAGACTAATTTTATTATCTTTAAAATTGTGTTATTAAAGTTTACTATGAATTTTATCTTAATAATCAGATTTCAATGGAAGAATAGTTTTATTGTAGAAATACCTGTACTTTTGTAAGGTTTAATAATTATTTTTTTCAGGTTCCATATAATCCTTGTGTGGGTCACCACCACCCTCAGATGTTGGGCAGTCCGGGCAGTGTTTTTCCATATAGTCAGATGGGCCCGCCTGCCCCGGGCAGCCCTGGGTATAGGGCTATTCAGGGAATTGTAACACCTGCTCCTAATGTTATGCCATATGCTACACCTAATGTCATTAGAGGTGAAACCTTTTTTTTTCTATAGATTTATCTTATATCTGTTATGAATTATGATGAGGGTATTTTCGTCTTTTAATAAAAAAAGGAAGAACGGAGTGTTGAATAATTATTTTTACTTTTATTTATTTCAGGCATTGCTCCACCATCTTTTGGACAGGCAAGGAATATGTTTCCATCCGAATGAAGATGATGTCATCATTGGACAAACTGGTCATTTTTTAAGGTTCGTTCCATTAAAATATATTTAATAGGGGTATTATGGTCTTTTTAACCTTTCTAGGGAAATTTTCAATGATAAAGTGGGGAGGGCATTTACATCTTTTGCATTATGTGCAGGATGACTGTCACGTGGTTCTTCAGAAGACTTTAATTTTCACCTTGGATGAATTTTCATTTACTGGCAAGAGGTATACAATGCATTAATAAGAAAAAAAAAATTCAAAGTACATGCTCAGAAGAATATGAGGGCAAATTTGTAATTTTACAATGGGCTTAACACAAGATCAAATACATGATCTTAAATTAATATTTGCTATTATTGCTGTAGTTTTTATCTTTTTTTTATTTAATGGGTTTGCAGGTGATGAGAAGTCATGGACGAAGGTCAAAGTCAAGTCAATTATCGAAAGTCAAAACTCCAAATCCTGGAGTACGGGGGTCAAAGTGCAACAAATGCATTTTATGGGGGGTCAGTCGTGGAGTGTTTGGTAACAAGATTGCAGGAATTGGTTTCCTAGCAAAATCAAAATTATGTATTATGATTTATGAGAGAATCAACATATGATTACTCAATTGTCAACTAGATTAGTGTTTAAGCATGTCTTTAAGTCAATATTTGATGGATTTTTTTTTTTATGACGTAAGAAAGTAACAGAAACAAGAATTAGAGTTGTTTTTTATATCTTCACTTATGTACATATGACCTCCCTTATGAATCTCTCATTAAACCATTTGTAGTTGCCATTTATAAAAATATGTAAGAACTAAATGCATTATATGTCAAATAAAGTACGTTGATGTTGTATAAAAATTATAATATGCATATATGCACGTGTTCATATATAAGCCTTGAAAAATATGTTAGTTTGTTAAATACATATGTGCAATTGTGCATATGGCATATCTGTGTGTGCACATATCATGTAAAGTACTTTGAAGTTAATGTAACAAAATGAGTTGGTCAAAATATTTGTCTATCAAAGTTAAATGACGAACTATATTCCAGATCCAATGCCGAGGCTGAATATAGAGGGGTCGCTAACGCAGTGGCTGAAACTTGTTGGATTCGTAATCTGCTACTTGAGCTACATGTTCCGGTTCAACAATCTACTCTGATATATTGTGATAACATCTCAGCAGTTTACCTTTCAGGTAATTCCGTCCAGCATCACCGAACAAAACACGTAGAAATGGACATTCACTTTGTTAGAGAGAAAGTTCCAGGTCGGGGATATACGTGTTCTCCATGTACCTCCGCTTACCAATACGCAACCATATTTACTAAGGGCCTTCCACATAACTTATTTGAGAGCTTCCGATCCAGTTTAAGCGTCTACAAAGCTCCAGCTTTAACTGCAAGGGACTATTAGTATTAGTATATATATATATTGTTATATGGTAAATATTGTACATATCTTATATTTTTAGGATAGATAATTACCTCCTATTTGTGAGGCTATTAGTTAGGCTTGATTATTGTTATTTTATATATATATATATATATATATATATATATATATATATATATATATATATATATATATATATATATATATATATATATATATATATATATGTTTCGGTTTTATCAATGGAGGGCAAGCAATTATATCCTGTCACACAATAAGAACTTGAAACTAACATGGTATAAAGTTTTAGATTTATTAATATGGTTATTAATCAATAAGTTTACTAGTATTTAATAAAAAAATCATTTTTTAGGTATTTAATTCTCTTCAACAACTAATAGACTGAGTGCAAAATACAGGGTACAGACTTGGTTACGTTATTGTGATAAAAAGATCCACTGCTAACTTAAATATAAATTTTTTTCAGTGTAATCATACAAAACTAAAAAAATCCACAAAAAACACTGGTACAAAAATAATTGTCCATTTGCACTAAAAGTCAAGTATTCATCTAGAGATAATTGTTGGTCATTAAAGGCCATATGTGAAATACATAATCACGATCCCACCTTATATTTAGAAGGTCACTCATATCCAATGGCGTATTTTTGACGATGAAACCCGATTAGTGGAATATTTGATAAGAAAAAATGTGAAACGAAAAGATATATTATCTACTTTAAAGTAGAAAATGTAGAAATTTTATCTATTCTTCCAACTATATATTGCACGCAAAAAATTTAAGAGAAGAATAGTGGTGAAACTCAAATGAAGGTTGTTACATCTTTCTTGGCTAAGAATGATTATATCTACTATAGTCGTGTGAAAAGACCCAAAAATCACGACAAAAAAAATTCTTTAAAAGCATTACTAGAATCATATTTATAAAAACTGTATCATAAGTCATAACATAAATTCTCGAGTATTAATTCAAAACATAATATCATTATCAGAGTCAAACATTCCCAGACTAACTGACTATGGTGTGTGCACTGCAATCTCCCCGAGCTCCTCTTTTGAAAACTGAGTACCTGAAACCAAAACTGAAAACCGTAAGCACGAAGCTTAGTGAGCTCCCCCAATCTAACACATACCATACAACAACATATAAAGCACATACTGGGCCTTGCCCACTGCATCGGACCAATGTCCGGACTAACTGGGGCCTTGCCCCCTACATCGGACCGAAGTCCGGAAACTGACTGGGACCTTGTCCCCTGCATCGGACCGAAGTCCGGACTAACTAGGGCCTTGCCCCTGCATCGGACCGAAGTCCGGAAACTGACTGGGACCTTGTCCCCTGCATCGGACCGAAGTCCGGGCTAACTGGGGCCTTGCCCCCTGCATCGGACCGAAGTCCGGAAACTGACTGGGACCTTGTCCCCTGCATCGGACCGAAGTCCGGGCTAACTGACTGAACATAGCATAGCATAACATATCAACTAGCATGAACACATATACTGCATACTACATCGGGCCGTAGCCCGGAACACATAACACATAACACATAAAACATAGCACATAAATCCTGTCTGAGCCACGAAGGCATCAAACATACTAACTACTGCATCGGACCGAAGTCCGGAAACTACTGCTAACTGAACGGGCCGACATTGTGGCCTTAGACCCGTCCCTACTGGAAGGAAACTCACCTGAGACTGCTGAACTGATGCTGCTAATCCTCTTGACTGCTACTTGACCTCTGACTCCGAACTGCTGCTCCACTAACTCTTCGAGCTTCAAAAGCCAATAAAACACTTAGTCCAACTGACCTCCAAAGGTCACTAGGTCAACTCTGGTCAAGGTCAAAATCCTAGTCAATGTCAACCTTCCAGGTCAACCCTACTCGCCGAGTTTACCTACTGACTCGCCGAGTTCCTACGCTCAGGGTCTTTCTTATTCGCGACTCGACTCGCCGAGTCAGTCTATGACTCGCCGAGTCCAACTAGTTCCAAGTCCTGTCCTGTCCAACTCGCTGAGTCACCACCCGACTCACTGATTCGAGTCTCAACTCGAAGGGTTTAGGGTTTCGCGATCTGACTCGCCGAGTCCAAGAACAGACTCGCCGAGTCCTAGACAATCTTCAACCAACTCGTCGAGTTGTTCATCCAACTCGCCGAGGCCATGCCTAACTTCATCCGACTCGACGAGCTGCTCATCCTACTCGTCGAGTTCCTCCTCATCTTCAAGCTACTCGCCGAGTCCACTCGAAGGACTCGCCGAGTCTATCCAGTCCTCAATCCATGCAGTGGCTTTTCGAGCCAAACAGAACTTCCAACTCATAGATCCATACTTCTAGGGCCTATTCCCCACGTAAAGTGGCAAACTTTACGTGTAGATTGAGAGATCTATGCTCAAAACATACTAAATTAGGGTTTATGGCAACCATGCTTCTTCAACATACCAAGGGCTGATACTTTAGGGGATTCAAGACCAAAACCAACATGGATCTGAGGTAGCAACCTCAGATCTGAACCTCCAACTCGAATTGGTTACATAACAAACCAAAATGACCAAAACTCACACATAAGAATAGATCTAGATGCAAAGGGAGTCCAAGCAACAGCTTATTACCTCCAATTGTTCTGAAATGACTCCACAATCCCAGATCTACAGTCCCTTCTTGCACCTCCAAGGTCTTTCTTCCTCCTCCAAGCTTTAGTGCATTCTTCAAGGCAAGATCTAGCTCAAAAACGGATATGGCGGCTAGGGTTTGGTGTTTGGGGTAGAGAGGCAGTAAAGGAACCCTAGGAAGGAGAATGAGACGCTTATATACGCTCCAAGTCCCGAATTTAGGGTTTTCCTCGATCAGACCCAACTCGTCGAGTCTCCTTGGCCGATCGCCGAGTCGGTCGCTTACACCACGACCCGGATCCCGCTCGGACTCGCCGAGTCCCTCCATGGACTCGCCGAGTCTCTCCTTAAAATTGAGGTCTTCTTTTTTTTCTTGACTTTCCAAACTTTGGGGTGTTACAAATCTCCCCCACTTAAATTAAACTTCGTCCTCGAAGTTTGCTATGATCAACTGCTTGCGAACTGCCTCCAACTCTCTATCTGGGAAATCTAACACCCTTTTGTCCAAAACTCCAGCCACTCACCATGCCGATCATTACCGTTGGTACATACTGAATCCTTCTCCTTTCCATAATTTTCCTAGCGTTACTTCCTCTGACTGGCAATTCTGTACCCCTCATCCGCCTACTGGATGCACTGAGACCACTTTGGTCCAACTAATCTACCGATATCCGAGTTACCGGACTCCCACCGGTCACTATACTCCATCGCAATCTCCTAGTCGCTTCCAGCGACTCCTGAAAATACTTCGACTATCTATAGCTG